TATCGTTGACCTCGCGGCGTCACTCTGGCGTTTCATCGCGAGGAGTTGGCGGCGCGCTCTTTTTGAGCGCTCGTTCTGTGACACGCGAGCACTGCTGAAGGAGAGATCAAATGAGTCAGCCCATCCCTATCGCCTGAAAAATGCATAAGAGAACATCTCCTGGATGTTGGAATTTCCGTCAAATGCTTAGACAGAAAGTAGACCAGTCGTCTTGAACGAGCATGAAAAAACGCGGAGAGGGAGGGGGAATTGCTCGAGTGGCCATAATGATCAAAGTGGACGATTGGGCCAGTTAATACATGATCCAAGTATATACCGTATTTACACGATTGTAAGACGACCCTTTTTTTCAAATTTGACAATCCAATGTTGGGGGGTCGTCTTAGAATCGAAATCGAACCATGTACCTTAGAATCGAAATCGAACCATGTATTGTCATCTCGAATAGTTTCCCGCTCAACCCAAAGCGCATAGTTTTCCGCATGCTTATACAAAAGCTTTTCTTTTTTTAGCATCTACTGCGCGCATTACGAGTGCCTTTATGACGAGCGCACGGCTTTTGAGGGAGCACCGGTAATCGATGGAAGAGCCACCGTAGGGGGGTATTGGTAGTTGACGGAAGAGCTCCTCTTTGTGATACAATTTTCTACGCGGGAGCGTCGCCGCGTGCTCCTGTCGCTTGTGTCCACGACCGGCTCTCTCGAGTCACTTCTGTCTGACATGAGTGCCATAGGCTCGAAGAACACTCGGTGCTCGTTTACGGCAGCGTTTAAGCGGGCTGCTATTCTTCATGCGGAGGAAACCAACAACTGTGCAGCAGGACGGAAGTTCAAAATCGGTCCTCTCCGCATGGGCGGCCGTCCCACGCGATGCCGTGGTGCGGTCGTTCGCGAAGTGTGGACTCACACTTGACGACGACGTGCTGTGGGACTGCAGCAGCAATGACGGCAGCAGCACCAGCCAGGACGACTCCAGCGACGATGAATAATCCTCCGCAACCACGTGAATAAATTTCCCTTGTGTAAAATGCGCGCGTTTTTTTTTTTTTTTTTTTTTGAGATGCGATTTTGGGAGGCTCGTCTTACATTCGAGTCGTCTTACAATCGTGTAAATACGGTATACTACGCGGCAAAAAACACGGACGAAAAAACCACAAGAGGCAATAATGAAACTTGGATTTTAAGGGTGGTCACGATCGCTGGCACGCTTGCTATCTCAGAAAGTATCAGTGCAGTTTCAATGCAAAGAGACTGTGTGCAAAGAGCCCTTCTCCCTGGAGCAGCCATATTTGCACCAGTGTTTTGTAGGAGTTCCGCCATATCAGATCCAAAAGAGTTGGCTGCAAGCTTTACTTCTTATAACATTACAACTTTTTGCTATCACGTTCATTGCATTGCATTCAACACGCCATCGTGTTGCCAGAACTAATAGGCTAATCGCGAAAGCTACCAACCTGTCAACTCACTGCGCAGCACAAGATGGAAGCCCACGACGAGTCGACCTCTGAAGATCCATCGTCAAAGTGGTTTCTGAGACTTTCTTTCACGGGTAATTTGACATCCCCTTGGTGGTGACGACACAGCTGTTCGAAACTAGGAAAAGTCAAAGTTTCGCCACAACGGCGAAGTAACGAATGCGATAGCAAAATCTTGGACTGTAACGCTGAGAACGGCAAGCTGATTTAAACGTGCAGCGCGCTGCTCGCGCACAAATGACGCACGAAAACAACATACACAAGACAAGAGCGAACTGACCACGTTTACCGCTCGACACTTAACATGCTGTTTAAACAAAAAGAAGGCACCAAACGTAATCACAGGTACAAGTGAGTGCGAACTAACAAGTGCCCCAGTTGTTACTTCGCTGTGTTTGAAAAATGCACTCTTTTCGCAAACGGCACCTGTCCAGCAAGCGAAGTGATCGTTGTGCGCCCGGCAACTAAACGCAATCGTTCCGGTAAAAGTACAAGGTGCGCGATTCTTCCCGCTGAAGGCGGATAAGCACGCACACACGAGCGTCTCACCCCCCCCCCCCCCCCATCGCGGTACAAAGTACGCATGGGAGATAAGCGCGCATCGCACTCCGTGACAAGCTGGGCACCGAGCACTGGCGTTTTTTTTTTCTTGAGTTTTCATATATATATATATAAATACGTATACATATACGGTGAATGATGGCGGCTGCGGTGACGGCAAAAAACCAGCACAGACTGTCCATATAATTGCTATCGCAATAAAAAGGATTCAAAGCTGATCGATGTCGGGGGTCACACCACGCGCGCAGTTAAACTATGCACGTGTCACAGCATCGAAAACAAAGAGTGAACGACACAGACACAAACACAGGCATCGCGAGAACTATTCGATAAAGCGCCCTCATATGCAGCACGACCCTAAATATGTGATGCTAACTAAAAGCGTGGCTCTGCCAACGCACAAAAGCAGTTTTCTTTTGGTTTGGTGTGAAGGGGGGGGGGGGGGCGCACTTGTGCATGCGTCCGCGGCGGTGAGAACAGTGGCAACGCCGGCTCGTGGGATGCAGGCCCACCTGCCCACCACACGCTTACCCGCGCACAATAACGAGCGCGCGCTCTCGCCTCGTGCACCGTGCAAGCCGTCACCGCTTGACGCTTCGTTGAGGCAGCTGCAGAAGATGCCTGCTTGTACGAAAATGCCAAAATGCTGTGCTAAATTTTTAGCTTGTCCATGGGGCAAATTCGTTACATTAAGGCTGTCTCCCGCTGTTACTTTGTTACATAGATGACGAAAATACATGTGCTTCTACAGAACAACAGCCGGGCATAAAAAAACTTCGTTATATCGAGAAATTCTTTATGCAGTCGAGCCCACTTATAACGAACCTGAGCGTGACGCGGCATCCGTTCACCCTATCCCGAAGTTCGTAGTAAATGAAACACAGCTTTTTTAAAAAGTTGCGCGTGAAAACACAAACTTTTTATGCCCCCAAAAGTCCGTGATGGACGTGATTCGAATAGAAGAAGCGATAAAGGTGGTCTCGAGCTGATTTAATACGGCAGGGCGCTCGTTCGCCGAGGTCCGTGACACAATCTGCATGAGGCACTGACTCCAAAGTTTCGTCGTTCTCGCAATCCGACTCCTCCAAATCGCTCTCGCCATGTACTTCATTCACAATGCCCTAATCCGTGCACGGTTTGCAGTGTCGGCATCATCATCAGCCGTAATTAAACCATCGCAACAGATGCCCCACTCGCTCTCCCAGATCGGAGTCGACGACATGCTGCCACAAATCGCCGCCGCAGTGGTCCTTCGGAAGCTTCAGGCTCGGCATCGGGCCTGACGTGGACGAAGTCGGCCTCGCGAAAACAGTTTCGCACGCATGTAGCCGTCACCGCCGCCCACGAAATATTCACCATCTCCACAGCTGCATACCGGGACGCCCGAAGCGGCAAGTTGGCTGCCAGGTAGTCAACAGCTATAAGCAAGCGCTCCGCAACGCAGCACCTAACGCACGGATTACGCTCAAGCCAAGCAGTCACACTTTCGACGTTTTGTTGAGCGGCAGGAAAGAAAAAGCGTGCTAGTCCTCCCTTCGGCCATCATAACCACACAGGCACACCAAGAGCGAGCAAGACGCATACACGCGACACACATGCCAGAACGCGTGAAACAGCTCTAGACTCGTTTCCCATCAGAAAACGAAACTAATTTGAGCCAGCGTGGCGGGCGTCATTGAGTGGAGGAGACGGGCGAAGGGGTTGTGACCAAGAAAGGAGAGCAGACTTGCGAGAGAAGGGCAAGGAGTTGCGATAAAGAGAGGGGAGGATGCGGCGGGAGGGCGACCTTGAAAACCAAAACACACGGGAAGGAGGCAGGTTGGGTAGCTTGCTTGAAGGGTCTGTGAAACTCGCACGTAGCAAAACTTGGAAAGAGTGCATGGCCGTCTGGATCAGCATCGGTGTGCACGAGGGTGTTCGAAGAATCGGCGGCCGTGGTCAAAAATCGTTTTGTTGCGCCGGCGGGTTTGCGTGGCCTCACGAACTTCCGATATTTCGCGATTCATTCCACGCAAATTAACAGCCGTTTTTGCGCTTCCACACACGCGCGAAAGGCATGCTGAGCTGAGTGCGAAGTGAGCGAGAACAAGTCCTAAACACGAAACAAAACGCAAATTATCAATTATCGGTCCGTGGGGCAGAGTACGGTCGTGCACTAGACGCAGGCTATCGGATACAGTCGGTGGCCGACGATGTTGGCAAATGGTCTGGTCACTCCGGGTCGGCGACGTCGACAGTACCAGCGATCAAAATGGGGTAGATGGCCGACCGGTCTTCGAAAGATTGGTGGCAGTGTGAAAACACAGGCCTCGTCTGGCGATGCAGAATGCTCAGAGTAGCGGGGGGGGGGACAAAGGGCGGAGGGGTGCGTAACAGAAGCGGTCGGGGAGAGGGCAACTAAAGGGGCGCGGAGGCAGGGTCGGCGTTTAACAATAAGAATGCATGGGCACCTCGCCGATGCCTGAACAATGGTCAAAATTGGTTTCTCGAGAAGTCGGCAGACCGCTGACTCCGTTCGCTGTAACCGATCAGCGGCGCTCGGAAACGTTCGTTGTAAGTGCGATTTTGTGCGATTAAACCAATGTTTATTTTCACGGTCACGCGGATATTGTTTGTTTTAAGCGAAAGTTCGTTTTAAGTGGGGCCGCTATATGTGGGCTCGACTGTATATGGAGGTTCGTTATAAGCAGGTTTAACTCTAGTTTGCAATGTTCCTGTGCCAGCCCGCTGATGGTGACAGCCAACAAGTGCAGAGGGAATAGCGGCAAAGAAAAAAAGGCACATTTACCCAAGCGACAAGATCAAGATTGTAAAAGCGGGAGCCCAAGGATGTGTAACAAGTTGCACAACAAGAATAGAGATTAAAGGGTTCTTTCAGGAACAGCTGACAAATTATGTGTGAAAAATCTCTTGCACCATGACTGTACCTGCTTGCCACACTTGTGATACATGTTCCATGACTTACCAGAAGGATGTCAGCCACTATAGACCAGTTGAGGCAGATGGCTGTCATGCCAAAGAAGAACAGCACCTGCATTTAAATGGCACAACATTGTCATCAGCGTCCAGCGGCAGTGATGTCACATATGCAAGCGAAGAAACCAGTGCTGCTCCAAAGCAGCTTTGTCAACCCTTCTTTCCCACCAATCTTTACCACACTTTAGAGCACCAATTATTTAAGCTACAACTGTCCCTGACTTATTACATTTTGAAGGCTTACAGTCAAGCTGTCTGTGACAGCTTTCTATTTTGGGAACACTCAATTTGATTATTAGAGCGTCTGATGATAAAATAGATGTTTTGTCGACTGATTTTCATAGTGCTGTTGGCAAATTGAAGCAGATGCAAACTGGAATGTGCGCTACTATACAGTAGAATCCCAATGATACGATTACGGTTGATGCAAACTTCGGGATGATAAGAATTTTAAGGTTGTTTTGGATGGATCACATTATATAAAATACACTATGATTCAGTGTTATACGAATGGTTTCCCCAGCCAGCATGGATTATACCAAAGTGTGATTGAACCCTGCATGCCAGTGGCACAACGCGGCTTGTCAGCAGGAGGACGGCCCGTTCACTCTTAACCTCTAAGGGAGTGAATGCGGCAAAACTCCCCGGAATTCGTCTCGCTTCCGTGGCATGCAAAGCACGTGTGAACTTCCTGGACACTATCTATGATTGCATTAATAGCGACTACAGTCCAAGCTGTGACAAGCAGTGGCCCCTTTTCACCGTGCACCTTCAGAACTGTGTAGACACCATTCAGAATTGTGCACTAGGAAGCCATTTTCACTCAGCAGCATAGGTGGTGCCCCGCATTTTTGTTTGGAAACTGGACTTAGGCCACAGGCATGCCTTCAGAAAATTTTAAACACTATGATTGTACTCTTAAGCTGCAGTCACATGGTGAACAAAACTGCAGGTAGAGAAAACTGAGGCTTTTACACTGCTCTTATGCAAAATAAGTACTAGATTTACATATTCAGGAAGCAAATGAAAATGCTCTCATATAACGGGTAGATGCCTGTTTATTATCTTGTTGTTACAGTGTAGACCATTTACAACGTAAGCCACAAGAGCTGAAAAATCTGCACTGTAAGCAGTGCTGAGTAATAACCAAAGCATGCTTTTTCCGACCTATGCCTATGCCCAAACGGCAACCCAACTTTCCACCTTTCAAATGCAATGATTAAACTTTCCACTTGCAGCCAGATTCAACACAATCACAACGCAATGCAGAAACAAAGTTTTCCAGTCCGGCATCATCGGAAGAACGCTGTTATTTTCGTTTGGCGGTTGTTGTGAGCAATGCTTCGAAAATTTTGTCTTCCACAAAGATTAAGTTTTCTCGCTTAAGTTGTTCTTTGCCCAGCATGTTTTCCTTTTCGTGAGGTATTCCAACACGCTTTTGCATGGGATATCTGGTTCTGACGTTCTGTCGACATCGCCCTTGCCATACAACCCCCAGTCGGTTGCACCCACCGCACTACCGCGCACCAATGTTACGTTCGCGTCGTCTGTGCTCGCTTCCTCCCAGCCAGAAAGCTCAGACTTTTTGGCATCGACATATTCTTCGAAAGTGTCAGTGGCAGTTATGAACTTGCTGTAAGCGAGGCCGGACCACACGTCGTCAGTATTAAGAGTCTCAACGGTGACGTGTCGTTCAGCTCATTGTTTTCCAGGCCCTCTGTATTGTGTACAAAGCTTGTGCTCTTGAAACATTTGCTTCTGATATTGGCCTTAACCTGCCGCCATAAAGCGACCACCATGTCAATTACACCCCTCAAATTCACCTTAAGAGGCTGCTGCTGCTGAACGCTCAGCAAAACTCTCTCGCATATGCACCTTTTTCAAAGTGCTTTTACAGTTGCAATGACACCCTGGTCAAGAGGTTGACATTTTGCTGTCCTCTTTGCAAGCAAAAATTACAGGTTGACTGCAGTCAGCATTGGCTTGATGTTGTGGGCCATGCAGTTGTCGAGGATGAGTGTGACCCGTTGCTTTATCGAAGTTGCAAATCCGGCTGGCAAAGAAATCCTGCCTCATCCAAGCCTTCTTATCAGATATGTTGATCATTGGCAGGCACCCTCGCTTTTTAAAGCAATATGACTTTGCCAATTTACCAATGACAAACAGGTGGCGCATGTCACTTCTGTCTATATTTGCACAAATCAATACAGTTATGTGCTCTTTGAGGCCTTGCGGCCAGACCAGGCTCCACCTTTCAGTGCAACCACGTGGTTGGGCGAAAGATTATAAAATAAACCACCTTCATCAGTATTATATATCTCTCTGTCTGTATAGGTGGACAGCACATTCCTTAAGTTTAAATGAAGCTAGACTTTGATAGACTCGTCCTCGACATCACCGCTCTCTTTGCACACCACTTTGCAGCTGACGCCATGGCAATCTTTGAAGTGCTGGACCCACCCATTTAGTGGGTTGAAGTCGCCACAGCATAAATAAAATCTGAGAAATTTAGCCTTTTGTTGGAGCATGGGGCCACTTACTAAGATGCTCTGAGCCCCAACTTCCCGAAACCATCTTAAAAGTGCTGCGTCTATGTCTTCGTATTTCAACATACATACATACATACATACGTACATATAGGCTTCCGTGGCAGGGAAGACGAATCTTGCTGAAGTTGCTGTCACAGTTTGTCTTTGTTCTTGAAGATGGTCAACATGGTCATGTCGGAAACACTGCATTTAGCTGCCACTGATGCCTTCTTCAGACCATGCTCGATGTCTTGCATAATGCACTCCTTGGTCTTCAGCGATAAGGCACGGAATTTTTTTCACACCGCTTGAAGACGCCACCAACGCCATGGCAAGCAACAGGAGCTCAACAATACACATGCTCCAGACCTTGGAAAGGGGCCCATAGACTTAACGTACCAAGTGTCAGGGATTTCCACTAAGGCAATGTAACCAAAATACGAAAAATATACTTTGAAACCTATGACGTTATGTGCCGAGATGTCGGCACGAAGGAAACTTTGACGTTGACTTCCTCCTCTCTCATAACCTTTGATGGTAAAATTAAAGACATTAGAGTTGTTAGAGTACAAATTACCAATCAATGTCGCCTCTTTGCTTCACTTTATTCCAACAACACGCAGTGCAGGTTATCACAGTGTTGACTCATCTTCCAGAGACACGACAGCTAAATTTCATTTAACATGTGCAATAAGGAGTAAATTATATACATATTTTGCTGAAATGCTCCCTAGACAATTCCCTACAACTATTAGTGACTAAAAAAGAACATTTGCAATGGAGCCTAGTGAGGGGTCTTTTATAAGCAGTCCAGGAGGGTGGACAGAGAGTGGGAGATGTGAGCGGCTTACCCACGTGACGGTCGGCATACGGTGCGCGATAGTGGCACCGACGAACAGCAGGGGCACGCTGATGAGCATGCCTCCACCGCAGATGAAGGCATCAGCCCGCACCGACCACTTGCGGAAGTGGGCGGACAAGGCACTGCCCGTGGCCACACCCACTATGCCCGCCAGGCTGGTGATGATGCCAAAGATGCGATTCACCCTGTATGAAGTGGGCACATGCATTGTGAACAACTTGAGAGTGTTCAGCAGTACTGCAAAAGCACACAGATCAGCTAGCCACATGGTGTCAAGCAAGCAAGCGTACCTGCAGTGTATTCAAGAGCGGAACTTTTCGTGTTGCTTACAGTTACACCTACCGTTTTTCCTTCCTATTGATCGCTACATCATTCAGCAGAGTGCTTCATGGAACAAACAGATGTTAAGGACATCATAGTCATAATGAAGAAGAAGAAATTGGCAAGGCACGTAGCGTGTAGGCAGGATAACTGCTGATCATTAAGAGTAACTGACTGGATTCCAGGCGAGGGCCAAGAGGAGACAGTAAGTTAGGTAAGCAGGTGAGATTAAGAAGTTTGCACACACAACATGGCAGCAGCAAGTACGGGATTGGGTTGACTGGAGGAACATGAAAGAGACCTTCGTCCTAAAGTGGGTGTAATCACGCTAATGATGACGATGAGGTGCTAAACTTACCAAAGAAGTCGTGACTTGACTCACACATCTGTTGGCAAGTGGATCTCAGCATCTGCAACTAACTGTCAATAGTCTCTTCCTGCTAAATTCTCCCAATCATTTTCATCCCTTGCAATTCCAGACCATCCGCATTCTCTTACACTTTTTTCTAACAATATTATTTAGAACTAACTGACAAAGATGAAATTATAAGTATAGGGGATGCTATTAGAAGTAATAGTAATGTAAATGTGAAGAAAGAAAAGTCTACGAAAAGATAACTCGCCCCCTACAGGATCCAAACCTGCGATCTTCAAATAATGCGTCCAATGCTCTAGCACTGAGCTATGGTGGCCATCATCCCCTCGTCCACAATGTAGAATATGTGAATGCATTTAGACGTAGGAGCGTCGGTCAGTGTCGCCTGTTGTCACTGCAGCGAGCACTCCCTTTTTGCCTGTTGGAGTCATGTAGGCGTCATATTGTGCCTAACAAAGAAAATGAGCACTTAAATTTACACTACTTTCTTCTAACGTTTTGATGATAGATTTCCTATTAAGCAACCAGATAACTGAAGCATCTGATAAGGGCCCCGAACAGTGTGACCGCCTACGAATGCAAGCCCAGTGCAATAAATGACCTTTGTTTCATACTGTGAGGAAGACCTTGCTTATTTCTCTACCTCCTCACTATATTAATGTAGATTATAGCCTTTACAGTCATATTAAAACACCAACAAACTTCATGAAATACCTTCGCCTTCACTAGTCTTCCTAGTAAACATCAAGTGCACAGATGCTACTGAGCTAACAACCAAATAATCGTCATAAACTAAGTCGCAAAAAAAAAATATGCAACTTTTGCAAAGATGCCCAAGAGAAAGAGAAATTTCATTATTTTTTTCCATTCTAGAAAATGTCTTTATAACAAAAAAAATGTCACTTAAGTACAAAAGGGAGCTGGAAAAATTACTTTCATTATTTTGTACACGCAACACATACGCAACTTTGAGCGAAAGTACATAGCCGATTTTTAGCATTGTCACTATACTAGTCTCCATTTTGTTGATTGCACCTTTACCAGTGATCGATTAACACTAATTGTTCAGTGCCCCGACAGAAGCCTGACTTCTACACTCAACTACCCAAAGTAATCGATGAACATGCTGTTAGAGAATGTGTAAAGCTACATTTGCTGAAAAAAATGTGAATAAGCACAAAAAGCGCAACAAGCAACGAGAAAATTCTACAAGCGACTCGGCGAAAAAAAGAAGCTCAAATCCACAGGCAACTCTGGTCAATATAGATTCTACATATAACCGAGATGAATTATGTGGTAAAGCACTTGGACACATGCTGTAAGCTAACCTAAGAACTCCATTCTATCAAAGGGACGAACTACCAGCCAGAACATGCTGCAGAACATCAGTGCAAGCTAGAAGACTGTGAATTATACCGACAGAACTTGGCATTGTTTCCACAATTCGAATACCAATTTACACTGTTAAATTCTCTTTCAAATGCACAAAAACCAGCATGTGTTGTTATCTGATGGAGAAGCCTTGACACTGTGCAAATGAGTCATTCAGATTGTTGTACCGAGTCTGCAGTTGTTTAGAAACAACACCACTCAGGCTTGAAATTACAGCTTGTATACTACAGTCTAACATGGATATATTGAACCCACACATATATAGAACTTTCGGGTACATCAAACTCTCAAGTTATCCCCTTGAAATTCCTTTGTAAAAGTATGGAAATTCGCTTATTTATATCGAACGGTATTTTTGCCCATTTTTGTATATATCCAACCCTGTGCAAGCTGGAACGTGCGCTTCGGCACCCACCGCGCCCTGTGATCTTTGTGGTAGCGCGGCTCCGCATGCGAGTTAAAAGTGCGCTTTGGCACTTGCAGCGCATGGCGACCTCGGAGTGGCCCCGCACTTCCCTCCAAACACGAAATGCTTGAAAAAAGTTCACGGCGAGAGGGCTCGGACTGAACGGTCTTCAACTTATAGAACGACTTTTTTTTCCATTTTTTTTTTCTCTCTCTCATGCTTTCTCTGCATACCCCCTTGGCTCGGAAAGCAGAAACGAAGGAGCCGACAATCTCCTCTTCTCACCATTTCTTTTATTTTTGGTTGCTGTTCTGCGAGCTTGCACCTTTTGCTGTTGCTCTCGCCGGCATTTGCCGGTAACCATAGCCTTGCGGGAGCTTTGTTGGCGCTTGGCGGAGTCCGTTTTCATTGTCCCCTCATCTACATACCACTGCATGTGTAGCATTCTGCTTTTGCATGCGTGTTGTGCAAAGCCACTGCCAACTCCTCGTGTAGCTAAGGCCTGCGCCAAGAAGCGCAAGACCTTTGACTTTGCGACGAAGTTGAAGGCTAATATGCGTGTTGAGGCGGGCGAGAAATATTCGACCGTCACGAATGACTTCGGGATACCACGGCGCACTTCGAGTACATTGTTGAAGAATAAGGCAGATAACCAGGCAAAGGTGGCGGAGCAACAAACGTCGGGAGCCTGTCGCGTGACAACGAAACTTGCCAAAACCGGTGAAGACAACGATGACGACGCGTTTCGCGAGTTGTCGTTTCTCTGTTCCCCACGAAGTGTCTGCAGACGATTTGGTGGAAGCGGACTGCAATGTTCAGGCCATTGCGAGCCTCGCTGATGAGAACAAATTAGCTGCGGTCAAAGAGACCAGGGATGCCCAGGCCGGCAGCTCGAGTGAGGAGAAAGATCGTGTGGACGAGACGCTGGCTACACGCGCGTAACTCAATGCTGAAGTGGCGGCAGCGTTCGGCATCTATTCGCCATTGTATTGGCGACATGGACAGAACCAGGCTGTCACAACTGGACAGCCTTGATTAGATCGAGACTAGCGTCTTCAACTTTATTTTGAAAAATGAAGGAGCAGACCAAGATAAGCGATTTTTTTTTTCACTCAAATAAAACATTCTGTTGCGGCGTGTGTGGGGCATTAGTTTTCATTCTTGAATGCGCCTATTGAAAGTGATGGTCTGCTACAGGTAAGCTCTCAGGGCCTGTATTTTTTACATCGAATTTTCGATATATCGATCTAATTCACGATTCCCTTCGAGTTCAATATATTCGTGTTCGACTGTGTTAGGTATCCTTCCAAATATTAGGCATTCTATATGCTTATTATAAGGTGAGAAAAGTTGGCAATATGAAGTGGTGCTGCTTTCCCAGCAATAACGAGACCACATCAAGCTGGTACATGCCTGTGGCATGCATGCATGTGATGCAAACTGCACCGAATGAACATGAACCAATAACACACTCGTCTACCAATATTTGCAGCATGTATCGCATATACGACATCATTTGCACTGCAGATCGAAAAATTGTCTTCACAAAAACGTTTCACGGCATTTTCCTCATAGCCACTACGCGTTTAGACAACACCAACCAGTAGTCGTTCTGCTGCGCCATATAAAACAGGTACCCTAAAAAAAAAACAGCTCCCCCAGAGTGAAACCTGGGGAAGTGCGTCACATGAGCATGCAGCATTTTCGGCTTGTGGATTTCCTGCTGCTCCTTTTTACCAAAGCGCCAATGACACCTACATTTGGAATAAGCATGTAAGGTTCTCCCAGCATGAATAAAATCTTGTTAGGCTGATTCAAAAGCTCCATGTATGACACGTGTGCTACTTTTTGCAGCACTTTACAGACTTCCTGCTTGTTACAGCAGTTGAGATACGCATTGTCTGCAGCAAGATAAAAAGTGTAAGTGTTTTTCTAACGATGCTTTACAAACTGTTATAAAAATTGTAACACTGTCCCTACTTCTTTCTTTATTATTGCTTTAAGATGTATTACAATTGATAATCATATATTTAAAGGAACAGCATTAGCCAATAAATTCAATGGGTACTTTACTTCTTTGTCAGAAAGTACTTACGACGGAAATGCATTAGGTTACATGCCAACACCTATAGCCCCCTCAATATTTATTGACCCTACGGAGCAAACTGAGGTAAACAATGTTTTCATGAAACTTAAAAAAAGCAAAAGTGAGGACATTGACGGCATAAAAATGGAACCGGTTATCTTTGTTATTGATTTATTATCACCCTGCCTGACGCATATTTATATACTGTTTTAAGCACAGGTTTGTTCCCTAAGCGGATGAAAAATGCCAAAGTTGCAGTGCTTTATAAAGGTGGTGACAAAAATGAAATGAGTAATTACCGGCCGATATCGGTATTACTTATATTTTCAAAGGCTCTAGAAAAAATCATTTTCACTAGATTGTATAAATTTTTGGACTCGCATTCTGTGATTACAACAGCACAATATGGGTTCAGGTCTGGCGTATCGACGGAGACAGCGCTGTTGCATCAAAAAGAGTTGATACTGGGCAACATTGAAGCAAGAAAGCTAACATTAGGCGTATTCATAGACTTTACGAAGGCGTTCGACAGAATTGATCACCAAACCTTGTTAGAAAAATTGTATTACGGCATTAGAGGCATCGCGCTCGATTTAATAGAAAGCTACCTTAGTGATCGGTACCAGTGTGTGTCTATAAATAGGCAAACATCTATGCCCAAAAAAATCAAACGCGGTGTACCACAGGGAAGCATATTAGGACCTCTTCTATTTAACCTTTATATCAATGATATTGTAAATGTGGATCACTCAATAACGTACATTATTTATGCAGATGATACAAGCTTATTCTTTACGGGAACAAATATAGACGATTTGATAAAAGCAGCTAATAAAACGTTAGTCAATTTTTCGAAATGGTCCTGCCAAAATTCGTTACAGATCAACAGCTCTAAAACCAAGGCCGTTCTTTTCCGTGCGAAAGGAATGACATGTACGTACACACAAAAACTGATGCTAAATAATTTCAATATCGAACTTTCAGAGACTGTCAAAACTTTGGGCGTCATCTTTCATCAACATATGTTCTGGAATTCTCACACTGAACAATTGTGTATTAAGCTAAGAAAAGCCCTTGGCGTGCTGAGAAGGTGTCAGTCGTTTCTACCGCTCCCCCAGAAACTTCTTATCTTTAATACGCTTTTTTGTTCTCATCTACGCTATTGTCAGTTGGTATGGGCTTCTGGAACTGAAACATCAAAACAAAAGTTGTATACACTTCAAAAAAGCGCTTTATGGGCTGTTGCAAATATAGGTTACAGAGAACACACATCCCATTTATTTGTCAAGTTTAAAGTTTTAAAATTTTGTGTTGCATATGAACATAACTTGTTGTCTTTGAGGTCTGAAATTCGAAAGAATTGCGCAAACCTGAGAGGCTTAGCACATTCACAGCCGAAAATTTTGTTGCGTCCGATGCGGAGTTCTGAACACTGGCACATCCCCCAACCGCGAACAAATTACGGACTCCAAATGCTAAAGCACTCTGTTCCCCATATACTAAATAAGTTCAAGCTCACAGAACAGCAATTGCGTTTCCTTTCAAGTAGTGATATATTAAACCTGTTTGTATAAGGAGCTATAAACCCAGAAAAATTGCACCCAGTACTTGTAAATGCATGAAATTTTAAGTGTACCCCTTTCTGTTATAGCGTCTTATTTTGGTTGCCTTTTTTCCCAATAATTGTTTGTTTGTAAACACCCAAGTGTGCATCTATTCTGTACTTCATAAACAACCACTAGAATGTTATTTCTTTTCTTTTTTCTTTCAATCATACGTGAGCACCGTATGGAGTTTGGTGTGCCATTGTTTCTGTTGCCTTGTACAAATGGGAGGTGGGGCTAGTCAAGCTGCTATAGCGCAGCTTTTGTCCTACTTTCCATGCCACAATTGTTTCTTGTTTGTGTAAATCACGGTGTATCGTTGTGGTGAAATAAAAATTTCAACTTTCAACTTCAACTATTTCAACTAGGGCTACCATCTTCGCGAGCACCTGTGCTCAATATCGCTTATAACTTCTGGGTTCGCTAACACTTGCATTCCTGTTGGCATCATTGCGCAAGTGCAAACTGGTTACGTAAACGTCTGCAATTGTTCAACACGGCTGTGCGTGTAACATTTATACATATATTTAGCATCATATCATAATGTGTCCCTCAATAAAAACTACGACACGGTCAGCTTCTCTCCGCATACTTCGTATAACGACGATTCCCAAGGTACGTGGGATATACCAAACTTGTTTTTTCGCGTACAAGGAAAAATCACCACCAGAATATTTTGACTGCACTGAAGCCAGACATACTTTTTTTCTGTTGCTGCATTTATTTGGAAGAACTTACCAAGAAAAGCCTAGCAATGGCTGAATTGTTTTTGGTATGGATCATAATAAGGAGATATCAATTCGTCTGCGGCGATGTTACTTAGTATTTATTACGGTCTCTTTTGTTGTCGTGATGAATACCTCCGTCTGAGAAATATATTTATCCTTTCCTGTGATATCTACGGGCAAACAACGGGCTAGTTTTCGTCGTCGAATCATATTGCCCTCCTATCATAACACACCGTTCAGCTATTTTATCGCGTACGGATACTCGTGTGCTTGTCAACCGAAGCACAGTTACGCTCTGGATAAGTGAGTGCCATGGTCTTTAACTAAAGTAAGGTTTTAAGTAGTTTTCGCAGAAATATTGTAGAAGGCTTCGATTACCCGACCTACATTTACTACACACGTCTTTCACAATGAAATTGCCTGAGTTCTCACCTCCTTTTGCGCCATGTGTGTTTTGATTGTTTTGGTAGCATAATGGCAATACTAATATTGTGTTAGGTTACTGTATGTTATACTGCTTTGAAATAAAATGGTTTCACATACATCAAAACGGCGTCTTTCTGATGAAAACTAAGTATTCGTCAAGCTAAAGTATTTAAGAAGCAGCGGGCACAAACACTCCCATTGGCGGGGCCGTGGACGCTGCCGCTCGTCGCAGCCTTGCGAAGGAGAGAAACCTAGGCAGGTGAATAGCACGCAGTGATGAACCGGTGTTAATTACTGGAGCATGCCAATAGCCACTGATGGGCATTGAAAGACAGAAGACTGAGACTGGACAAAGAGACCCGTATTCCTCTTTTAGTTAGCATGCGTGCTGTGAATTTAGATTGTTCAATATCGCATAGGCGAAATCTTATACTGCCACTACCTTGAAGGTCAAGATCCAGTATCTATATATAAAAAATGGCACGTGAATGATTGTGCAGGGCAGGCAGTTGGGTTTTTTTGAGAAAATCGCTAGCAGACGCTGCCTGCGTCAGCGTTGCGAGACGAGACGGGGTAGGAGAGGGTGGAGAGAAGGAGGAACGCGCATGCGCAGAGAGGGTGGTCATGACGCACACCTCATTGCACTCAACGAGCGGATGCTGCGCACCTTAGAAAGGGCGAAATTGTCACTGCCATGTAACGCGCAATGTTTCACACCTGGTAGTACACCGAATTCAGAAATCTTGCTGCGTTCTCGAACAATTAAAATATTTTTAAGTTCGTTCTTACATAGCCCAACGCATCCACTGATCACTGTAAAACTCCTAGTGCGAATGCGTGACCATAAGTGACCAAAACGCGCCTGCAACTAGCCCATGGCCCTCTCACAGCCAGCAATACTTTAGTATAGATGTAGTCTAGACACATGGTGACCGCTTACACCCACCTCCCTGTCTTCAAAGCACAATGAGAGGTAGCTGGAAACAGAAAATAGGGAAGCCTCGTGCACGAGTGCGAAGCGTTGTGTGCTATGCGAATGCGGCTTTTGTGTCAGCTGTGGTTACGTCAACGTGTCTGCAAAATTTTTTGATACAGCGTCACAGTGAAAAGCAGTGCTAGTTGCATAAAACAAAAGAAAATGGAACCCATTTAATTGACTGAGTGTAACCCGTCAGCGCACAAGGCGGCAATATTTTGACTTTGCTTCTAGATCGGGCTATCAATTTTTTTTTTCGCCTGTGCACCCATATAACAGCCCGCTTACAGCCCACTAACGTTGAGGTATAGTGAGTTTTCGGCACATGCAGATCTCTTGCAGAGCCATCGCACTAGTAAGTGTGGTGCAAATGTAAAGAAAAAAAGCCCATATCAGAATATATATGCCCGAGCAACAATGACTTCGCCTGTCGTACACCTTGACGCGATGTTTTCAAATCAGCGTGATGTTATACATTCAGCACAAATTATTTTTTTGCCACATACTATTGCGCCAACAGCGCGGCAGCCTTTTCGATTCTCTGTGGGAGCACTGTGGTGGGGAGAAAATAGCAAATCACGCCGACATTTCAAAACGTGTTCTCTCTGAAGGACTTGGATGGCCGAAGAAAAACAACGCTACGCGCCCATGATCTCGGAGGCCATAATCTTCGAGGATATAATGCGGCATCGAACATTCGAGTGTTATCGGCGCTGGCCGCCTTCATTCGAGAATAAACTCAGCTGTTCGTGTTTGCATGCTCAAGCACGGAAGCCTAACAGCATATCCTAAAACTGGATCGCTTCTAAACATTAGAGAGTGGTACGCTGAAGGTGGTATGTACACGTGCAATAGGCCGGTAACAGAAAGCATGCAGCGAAAATAGCGTGTGTTGCACGATTATTTGAACATTTCTAGCGCCTCCATGAAACGTAAGGTTTTTGTTGTAAGGAATCGCTGCGTCCCGATCTGTGCCCAGCTATGCGCTGGCGTTAGTGAAGGCGACAACTTACCTGCGCGAGAGGTGCATCAGAGAGCGAAGAAGCAGTTCTTTTTGGCAATGTCCTCACGTACTATCCGCCGAGTCAGTTGTCGTAGGCAGCTCTCATCGGACGGTGCGGTCATAGCTACAGCACCTAGAGGTGTGCTGGTCTTGAGGCGATCGTATTGCTGGTACTGCTGCTGCGAGGCGCTCTTAATCATTCTGGCCTCCCTAATAAACTCGTTAACTGTTGTCGGAAAATTTTGCGCAAAGACAGCAAATCGTTGGTCCTTTGCACCGCGCATGAGATGGCTGAGCTTTTCAGCTTCAGGCATGTTGGGACGCGCACGGTGAAACAAACTTTCTATGTCTTAAGCAAACATCGAAATTCTTTGATTGTTGAATGTGCGACTCAAGGACACGTTGCGCGTTCTCACGTTGGTATGGGCTACCGAACGTAATAACTAGCCGACTGCGCAACTCACCCCACGTTTGTCAAAGTTCTTTCGCGGTATATGGACCACGTCATAGTGTTGTCTTCAAGCGCGAAGTATACGTTGAATAGCTTCTCGCCGTCAGAGATTGAGTGGATAGATTTTGCTACTCGATCAAACAGCTCTTGCCAGTCTTCCACGTCTTCGTTTTCGTGACCATCAAAATGTTCAAGAATCCGAAGTTTCTGCACTGTTACCTGTGCTGGGTTACTTGATGAAGCCTTAGGGGTGTTCTTTGACAGAGGTGGTCCTTGTAAGAGGCCCGATTCGGGGTCCAGACCTTTAAGGCGACGGCTTGAGCGGTGTACCGAATTCTCCACGCGTGGATGCCCAGTTTGGCAAGAACCAGGGCTGTTCACAGGGCTGGCGATCATGAGGCGACGGTACCCAGCACTTCCACCAATGTCGCAGTTGAAAAAGCACGAAGGCTTTATTGTTATGAGCGGAAGGGCACTGCTCTCTCAGAGGCAGGAAAGGTAGACTCCGGCAAAAGAAATGCTTCTTCTCTAAGTCGTGATGCGCCTGTCGTGCGAATCAATCATCGTCTTCAATGACGCCAGTGCATAGCTGGGCGCAAATAGGGACGTGACATTTATATTTGATGAGCGTGAGCGTGAGAAGACTACTTTCGTGATGCCTGATGGGGGGTTTATGAATTCAAAGTCCTCCCTTTGTTATGCATGCTCCCAGCCACGTTTAAAAGACCAATGGATAATGTTCTGTCCAGTGTCAAATAAAAAACGTGTGTTGTGTACCTCGAGGAAGCAATTGTTGTATTTTCGGCATCGTTCGAAGAACACCTAAAACAGCTAATATCGGTTTCTAAGCCATATGGTCGGCAGGACTCGCATTGAAGCCACAATTAAATTTCGGAGTTGAAGAGCTTCAGTTCCTGGTCACTCACGAAAGTGTTAGACCCGAACTGGACAAAACTGCTGCCGTCGCAAAACTAGCAAAGCCCACGGGTAAGAAGGGAGTCGGACGTTTCCTGGGTCTCTGCGCCTGCTACCTCCGATTTATTGCAGATTTTGCGCATGTCGCCTGTACACCCACACACCTAACAAGGGAAGCTGTTACCTGTATAAGGGGTGAGGAGCAGGAGACGGCATTCGACAAGTTACGGCAGAGTTTGCAAACTCCGCCGGTGCTCGCTCACTTGATGAAAATGCACCTATAGCCATACACCCAGACGCCAGCAATGTGGGCCTAGGTGCTGCTGTGATACAGGGTCAAGACGGTGCCGAGCGAACAGTGTCCTACGCTAGCCGAACCTTGTCGCGCGCCGAGTTCGATTACTCAAGCACGGAGAAGGAATGTCTGGTGGTCGTATGGGCAGTCGCTAAGTTTTGCCCATATTTATACGACCTCGCTTTCTAAGTGGCAAACGATCACCACTGACGAACATGAAGAAGCCTTCTGGATGTTAGGCGGGCTGGAGCTTAAGTCTTCAAGAGCACAACGTGACAATATTCTACAAATCGGGTAATGAAAGTAAGTGCATCATTGTCACAACAAACTTCCTCCCCAGATATGGACAAACCAAGGCAATTCCGAGCGACACAGCAGCTGAAGTGGCACAATCCTTTATTGAGAAGATTTTCCTACAACACAGTGCCACCGCGGCCGTCTTAATGGACCAAAAAAAAACTGCGTTCACAGCTGAGCTTCTGCTCACAGTGCTTACACTCAGTGGCACCACGCATAAGAAACCGACAGCTTATCACCCCTAAATGAATGGGCTCACTGAACGTCTCTTCAAGACTGTTGCAGAGATGTCCTGCATGTACGTAGACGTGGAGCGCGAGAATTCGGACAAAGTTTTGCCTTACATTACATTTGCGTATAATGCGACCCAAGGAAAAACGAGAATGACTCTGTTCGGACTGAACTATGGACGAAAATTCACAACATTGGTGAATTCTATGCTGCCTCTTGATTTCAATGATTTGGAGACAGATTCCACAGGTTTCACCTAACTTGCCGTGGCAGCGAGGCAACTTGTTAGGGTCACAATGACCAACCAACAAAAACGTGAAGCCCATCGGTACAATCTCTGTCATCGGTTTGTAGCTTATACACCAGGATAGAGAGTCTCGGTTTGGTCACCTGTGTGACGGCGATGACTGCCGGAGATACTTCTTGGCGATACTTTAGACCGTGTAAAGTACTGCGCCGTCTCAGCGACGTCACCTATGTGGTCATTGCAGATGATTTATTTTGCTCAAGACGCCGTCAGCGTCTGCATGAGACTGTGAACGTGGTGCGCATGAAGTCTCTCGGACTGACGCGGATATCGAAAATCTACTTGCACATTGACTGCTTCTTGGTGAGCATCGAGACGATGCTCTCTCTGTAGGGATGGTAATGCCACGTCCCTCTTTGTGCCCAGCTATGCACTGGCTTCAGTGAAGGCGATGACTGATCCCCACGAGAGGCGCATCACGAAAAAGAGAAGAAGCAGTTATTTCAACCGAGTCCACTTTTGGTCTCGGTCAGAGCACAGCATACTTCTGTTCAATACAATATAGTCACCGTGCGTTGTGAACTGCAACACAGTGAAAGATGATGATGTTTATGTTGGACACACTGGTGCACGGGCCATTTATTATATGGTAGTTTTGGGATGTAAGAGCCAACAATAATAAAGTAAAGTATCTATTTTACTATCACCCGTGCCTCTAAAGCTAGCGGCAACTACATTATGCATAAATAGCAGCAACGAAGGTGGTCGAAGAAACCACAGTCAAATTAAACCATTCTATATGTACGGTGATCTTCAACGTCGCGTCGTCGTAGCCACAGTAAGAGAATCGAAAACAAGACTTAACTCACCATAGAAAAACTGCTGAAATAATAAATTTTGGGATGCTTATCAGTGGCGTTGAGGTCTCACACTATCATTTACTGTGACAAGTTAGACGTCGAGATCATTGTGTTGATCTCCTTACAAGCATGATTCACTGAAACTTTCCTCCGCAGGACCAAATACTCCAAACCCACTTGAATATATGTTATAATTATGACGACGCGAAAAGTTACTAAAAATTTACGAAGCCATAAGTCTGAGTAGTCAGTCTCTTTGCATACAAAAATAGGCTGTCATACAGCAGCGAAAAAACGCCCAGCATCTAAAATTGTTTTACCGAAATGGCAACCCGTATTTTATAGATGTTGCGCGAAATTATGTATTTAGGTAGTTGATATACCTTGGTTGTTTGGCATAAAATTTTATTTCTTTGAAATATATTACGGGTGGGTATCTAGATATGAAGTGTGAAATATTTTTGCAGATGTTTGGCCCTGTGCATAGACAACTTACAGTGTGCTATCTTCGGGAAGGGCGTGTATATTAAATATCAAGAAACAAACGATGAGGGAAGGTTTCAAATGCCATAGCCGAGGAACAAAGCAGTGTATAAAAATCGCAATTTCGAGGTCGTCAATATTGTCACTCTGGTGTGCTCTATATATGCTATACTATGCGTGGAAAGAAAATTTGATATCTGAAATAAAATCGGTAGGGTATGGAGAACTTTGCAAGGAGAGACTTTTTACATTTTGTGTAAGATTATCATTAGGTTGTTCCTAGAATTGTTCTAGATAGGGTGCCTATGATTCACTTTTGGTACCTATGACTTTTGGTGCCTATGATTCAAGCCTATGCTATGATTACGCGAAACACAGCGGAAGTTAGGGGGGGGGGGGGCATTTTCCGGTATTTTTTACTATCTGCTGTTCTTCGACGCGCGCTTACATCGCCCAGAACACGGGCCTCTGGTTTTCACCTCCATCCTAACGCAAATGCTGCACGCGAAGTCGAACCTGCGATTTTGAAATATGAAGAGCTGAAATCCGCAGTTTCTTGGCCTTGCCTACCAGATGAAAGTAAGCCGGAATATATCATAGGTAGTGTGCCTGTATCTACGCCATGACGTGCCACTACAATTCCCAGTGGTACGCGTCGTCTGTTTGTGTGTTCTATTGCAATAACAAGACAGTTACAACTATACCAGCAATGGAAAATTTTCAAGATTGCTTTTGCGGTACATGGTACTTATGCAGAGCAAACTTATTCCAAAATAAAGTGGCACTTGGCCTCTACGGTGCATTATTTAGGGTTCCGACGTCGTGTTTACGTGATATGTACTAAGTATGCCCGTGGAGTAAGACCAATACAAGATGGGGAGACATAAATAAAACAGGCTGACGCTCACTTTCAACTACAATTTACAGGAAATTTGTAATGTTATTCTAACAGAAAGCAAAAAGAGGTGGCAAAAGACTGCGGGCACGCATAGCGCACAGAGTGATAACAAATAAAAGAAAACAATCTTGCCTTCGTTTTCATACAGCGTCGTTGTCTCGTCTTTTGTCTGCGACATATACCATTATTAATAGCTAGAATAACAGTTATTTGGAAGGCAGCGCCAATCTATGTGTCTGCCTTTTGCTTTCGTTCCTTTACGCTGTGCTTTCAAAGCATCGATGTAAAGTGCTCCATGAGACTCTTTTCTAGAACGTGTTTAGCCGGCAGCGCATTCAACGTAGAGTGTTACCCTTGCAGGAGGAGCCTACCTTGCCGCACTGTTCCCCAGGGGAGATGCTCTCTACGCCCGAGTCGCCACCCATGAGCAACTCTATGGTAGAGCGCGAGGCCCGCAGCATCTTGCTGCGTCTGGAGGCGCTGGTTGCGACTCCATTGGTTGATACACGGCCGATCAGCCTGG